TTTTTTTTTCTTTGTGTGTGTGTGTGTGTGTGCTAGCACCTTATTTGTTATTGTTGTTGTTGTTGTTGTTTTTTTTTAATGCATGATAGTAACTTTTTTAGTTATAATTTATTGATGTTAGTGTTATGGTTCGAAAAGAGTGATTTTCAGGCTTTGCTGAGTTGAGAGTTGAGTGTTGAGGCCTCCATTGACAAGGTGCAGGTGTCCGAGAAATTTGAATATTTTGAGCTATTGTGTTATGAGATTGAGGCTGAAATTGATTTTTTCAAGGTTTATCCGGGGGAAATTCAAGATATATTTAGCGTGGCTCGCGTGGCTTTGTTTACCCAATGAGCTTTCTTGGGGTAGTGGTTGTGTGATTAGATATGTCCACCGTTGCTCAATTGGTCGTTGATGGCGTTTTTTTTTCTCGCTCGCCCCTCTTTTTTTCCTGCATGCTTTTACTGGACTTTCGCTCGTCACTTATATCCTTTGGCATTTTCGAAGATGAAAAGCTTGTTAATTAAAAATACGTAACACGAGTTGATAATATGGCGTATAATACTTCTTGTATATATGATTATTACAGGTCCTTCAATTTGCTGAACAGTCTAGATTGGTGTAGTTTTTCCTTTATTTTGATGGATAAACTTGCAATTGGATATTGGTGGATAAAAGCGTATAAGAATTCCGAAGATTCCACCTCTCCTGCTCAACAATCCCTCGAAATCCCTTCTTATTGCTGCTAGTTCTTTGCCTACCAGTGCATATAGCTATAATGGTCTTTACCTACCTTTGTTTCCATAATTAACATATTGTTGTCTTGCAGTTCAATTATTATATTGCATTTATGTGTGTTTGTTTAGCCACCACCTCATCAAGTTTTCTATCATGTGTTTGCTCAATTTTTTTAGTTAATTAATTCAGCCTCCACCATCTCATTTACATTTTGTTTTCACAAGAGGAAAATGACTAGTTCCAGAAAAATTTTCGATTCTTTCTACCCGTGTTTGCAGGTACCTGGCAGCCTACAGTTCCTAAATGGGAAAAGGACTTCTGCAAAGTAGTCGGGTCCCTCGACTGGGATACTTTACTTCACATGAAGAAATTCATGCACCTTTACGAAAACGTGCTCAATTGGGATGACTCGGCTGGCGAGGAGGCTCTATCTAACGCCAAAAAACGCTATTGGGCCTGGATAAACGGACTCCCTTGCAATCTCCTTCCGCCCGATCCCGATCTTTACATTGACAAAATCGACTGGGACTCGGAAGTTGACAATACCGTATCTTGGCCCGAATTCGAGCCCGAATTCACTGCAGACCACGAGCCCGTCGTTATTTTCGGGGACTCTTTCTTTGCGAACCAGTCGTATTCGCTCGGTGGATGGGGTGACGCGGAGGAGAATTTCAGTGCTCGGGATATGAACAACAACACGAAGTCTCGTAATATTCAAGGTGGTGATGATTGGGGGCAAACACAAAACTGGGATAGCCCGTTGGATAACGGGCCAGCAGTCGGGTTGGCTGGCTGTTCCAATAACGACTTGGGTTGGGTCGATACTGTGTGGCCCACAGAATACGGGTCGGTTGGTGAGAATACGGGTCGTGGGCTGGCCCGAGCAGGGTATTGGGAACCGAAGCCCGATGAGCGACATGGTGCAAGAGAGTGGAATTCGAGTCATGTGGGCCCGTTGGCCACCGTGCTGCTATAACGGTCGGGCGAACGTGGCATCGTTAGGAGCCTGTTTTCGCTGAATGCAGGTTATTTATTTATTTTTAATACATATATGATGATGACCATAAAATATGCATGGAGTTTCCTTTGGTGTTTTCCTCCAAATTTTGAGGGTTACTTTTTTTTGTTTTTGGTGATAATGGGGGGAAATTTGTATTGTATAGTGGCAGTTTGCCTTCTAGGCCAGGAGGATATTTGGTGTTTAGTGTGACTTTAGGTATTATTATTTTCATTCTTTTAGGTTTTGCAGTTTTGCTATTAGAACTTGTGCTAATCCTTTTGCTTTAATATAGTGATTGAAGTGTGGTACTTGTATTTATTTCCCTCCCCAACAAAAGAAAAGAAGATAGAAAGTTACCCGAAATGCTATGGAACATTCATAACTTTATGTATTGACATGTTTCCAGTGTGACATCCAATGTGGAGTCATCCATAAGTCGAGTCATATGATGACTCCATAGCAATCGAGGAAGTTACATAATAATTATCTAGAATATGCATATTTTTGTATGAGCCAGTCTGACCGTTAGTAGGTTTTACCCGTTATATTAAATAAGATCGAACCAAAGTTTTGTATGAGACATTGATTATTAGTTGAGTTGACCCGTCATATATGTACTGGATCGTTAACACATTGCTCTTGGAACATTTTATTTTGAGTGGTTTTATGATTGATTCAATCATGAGAATTTTTAAGAAATAGGAAGACAAGTGGTGTATAATATGTTGTTATGAATTTATTTAGGCAATATGAATAATTATTTCTTTTTGAGCGCTTATGAATAGTAATTTATTGATTACATTGTGGTGGGGATGAAATGAAATTTAATAATAATAATAATAATAATAATAATAATAATAATAATAATAATAATAATAATAATAATACAACCTAGTACTCATCTGAAAACTTAACAATTCATATATTAATATATTATTTTTCTATATTATTTTATATATTTTCTCCATCTCATCTATACTTATATTAAAAGCCATATTATTTACCAAAACTAGTAGCAAAAAAACGTCAACTCACATTTAATGCATATTTTATTTAGAAATTTTTTACTATGCATTAATTGCTTGCATATATACATTTTCTATTCAAATATGATCAAAAAGATTCTTTCCTTAAATAATTTTATTAACTTCTGCAATGATTTTACTGATATATATTATAATTCATATTTGTCGATAGTATTTTTTAATTTTTATTTGAGTATATAAAAAACAAATATTTTTTTAAATTAATATTTTATTTATCATGTAGGAGATAACAATCACATCATTAAATGATATTACTGATGGCTAGATAATAAATTAAAATACATTAATTATTCTTTAAAATTTTGGCATGTTATTTATTTGTATCTATACTTATTATACAAGGTATCCTATTTACCAAATTTAGTAGATTGAAAAGTAAACGTAATTAATGAATTGTTATTTCTATCCAGAATTTTATTTAATTATTTTATTTATTTGTCTTATATCCCATTAAATCAGTTTAAGAAAAAAAAATCTCATAACATATGACAAGTAAAAAAAAGACGTAAAATCTTTACTAAAATAAAAAAACTTGGTTTATTTGTCTTATTCCATATTAACATCGATTTTGTCAAAATAAATCCCATAATATTAGTGAAGTCAACATTTGTACGTTAAGTCTATCTATCCAAAAAAAAAAGTCAGATTCAAAATTCCTTATCTAATTCTTTCTTTTTCTTATCTAATTCCTTCTTTTCCTTATCTAATTCCTTTTTATTATCTAATTGTATGAAAATATGTTCTGATTTTGTTCAATTCTCTAATTGTATTTGTATTGTATTCCATAAAATCGGTTTAACAAAAATAATCCCATAACATCCGATAAGTAAAAAAAAATGTACGTAAAATCTTTACTAAAATAAAAAGACTTTATTTATTATCTAATTTATTATCTAATTGTATGGAAATCTGTTCTGATTTTATGGTACGTACTACAAATTGTGCACCCGCCGTGTTCAGGAGCTACTTAACGGGCAAGCTCTGTGGAAAAGACTCATTTAGTGCTTCTGTCTTGTGCATACGGTATGTATTTTTATTACACATACTAGAAAATTGTGCACCCTGTGCATCGCACGGGCTTTGTACTAATAAATGACCTTAAAATTGTGCACCCCGTGCATCACTCGTGTTCACATTTTGGCCCATTACAGGTAACGTACTATATATATCCCGTACATTTTTTATTTATTTATTTCTATAATTATAAGAATGGATAAATGACCTTAAAATTGTGCACTCCGTGCATCGCACGGGCTCTGTACTAGTTTATTTTAACAACTGTCTAACTTTCTTTAGATTTCTTTACATAGTTGGACATTCAAGTTAAATAAAAAAAATACATAAAAATACAAAAAAATTAATATATAACGAACTTTTATGATTGGGAAGAATCAAATTTTGATTAAAAATTATAGCTACCGTGAATAATTTTTTTACACAAATTTTTATGTGACTCAACGTAACAATGAAGAGAGTTGGTCCATTATTTTTTTAAAATAGAAAGTTATATTGTTATTAATACTATGAAAATGTCAAATTTTATTCCTGACGTTTTAAAAATTATATAATTTACTCATAAATACATACATATTTACTTAAAATTATATCATATATCATATATAAATTTTTTTTCTTTTTTTTTTGTTACTATAAAATCTTGGTTGCCCGATTATCTTTGCATAATTTAAAAAAACAACGAAAGACTATTATTTATGAATTGAAAAAACAATGGCGTGTTGATCAAATTTAAGTAGTTGATCCAAATTGAAAGTTTGGTAGGCAAACGGGAACAATGCCACCTCAGCTCAACTCTCGTCCATATGACAATCTTATCTTACGTGTCGACCGACGATTGGTTGCTTCACCGCAAGCTGACTTAGACATGTGTTCCTACTTGAAATTTTCTGCAACTTTTCTAGCAGCAAACTTAGATCAATATTTTCTTTTTTATAAATATATATAATTTTATTAAGAATGTCATACTTAAAAATATAATATAATATTTTATAATATAAATATATTTTATTCATATAATATAACGGGATCCTCAAGCTAAGATTAGGTATCGATATAAAATTTAGGGTTAATCATTTAAAATCCTAACCTTTTGTTTAATTGCAAATAAAACTCAACTTTTTCAGTTTGGCACAAAAATATCAAACATTTAATAAGTATTGCAATTGTGTCTCAAAATTAATTTTCGGTCATACCAAACCTTGAATAAGATATTCAGAAAAATTGTCGCTGGAAAAAGTCACCAACTAAGGTGGACGTCACTAGATGTGGCTTTGCGAGAGGAGTTCAACGGTACTTTCGGATTCACGTGGGTCAAAGCGACTCACCGGGAATTTGCAAAAGAACGCCAGAGAAAATTTGAAGATCTACAAATTTGACCGAAAAATTGGAAGCCTTATCGTCGGAATTTTTTCGTGAAACTCGGATATATTGTCGGCACGGAGGAGAGCTCCAAGATCATGTAAAAATTTTCAACATCCTGCGAAGTTGACCGGCAGCGGGTGAGACAATTGCAATACTTATTAAATGTTTGGTATTTGTTTGCCAAATTGAAAAAGTTGAATTTTATTTGCAATTACACAAAAGGTTAGGATTTTAAATACAATTAACCCTAAAATTTATGATAAGTTAAGTAGACTAAAACATTAGATAAGAATATTTGGGAGATGCTATGTCCCGTTACGAAACCATTCCGTTGAAGTTTGTAACCGTTAGATCAACTATCCCCGACGTTACATGATGATCCAACGGTTACAAACCCCACAACATTTTCCAGAATATTTATATAAATATAATAATATAAATATGTAGTTTTCAGGCTGCCTAAGAACTTAGTACTATTATTTAAAGTGGGATTGACACTCAGTTCAGAGAGGGAAAGACAGAACCCGCACAACACACCAGCAATGGCTGCTAGGAAGCGAGCTCCGGCAACGGAGACCTCAAAGCCCGAACCGGAAAAGCCCAAGCCCGAAACCCATCAAACAGACTCCCCTATTCGGCCCGCTAAACTCTTCACAATCACGAAAATCTTCCTCATTTTCGCGATCCCCTATTTTTTCTTGCTTTTTTGGTACGAAATTGAGCACGAGCTCAAAAAATCGATCTTGATCAATTCGGTCGCGAGCATTATAGGGTTTTTCGTAACGGTGAGCTTGATCCCAGTGGCGTCCAAGTATGTGCTGAGAAGGAACTTGTTTGGGTTTGATATAAACAAGAAAGGTACCCCTGATGGATCCATCAAAGTGTAAGTTGAATTTCTCAGATACTTTCCCTTTTCCCTTTAATTTCAATTTTAATCTTTGCATATCTGAAAATAGATAGTGTTATTCGATGGGCTTCTTTAATTTCAGTTTCATGGTTATTACATCAATTGATTACATTTCATTAGTTACTTTTGTTGAAGACTTGAACTTTTACCACTGTCTTTTGTTTTCAAAGGTTTGAGTTTGATTTGAAGTAGCCATGAAAGGGTGAAACTGCCTACGACTAGCAATCGCCTTTATTATTGATTTATGAAGTTAGAATATTCATATTTCAGATGTTGTCTTCCTTTCCCTTTTGTGGGCAATTTTAGTTGTGTTTATAACAGACAACGTTTTGTTTTTCTTTATGTTATGCAGGCCTGAGTCATTGGGAATTGTAGTTGGGATAGTGTTTCTGGTTGTGACGATTTTGTTCCAGTATTTCAACTTCACTGCAGACTCGAATGTAAGTATACATTGATTTGCTTCTGTTAATGACACTTCCATTATCGAGCATGATGATACTTTACTCTATAAATTGGAGTTTGGCTTTATATATCATGCCCCTGTTTCATTTTTACTGATATGCAAGCTGATTAGGTAAGTTGTTAAATCTTAACTAATTACCGAGGTTTATATCAGCAAAACACACGCGCAAATGCCTTGCTGTCAATGTATTTGATCTTGACATCTAGTCACTAAATTACAGTTCAATTTGTACTTTACCTTTCTCCACAAGCCGAATTTTCTATTTCCTATGTTTATCTGCGCCAGCATATATTTGATCTTAATGTCTTGGAAATAGCAAAAGGTGTAATCATGTTGTTTGTTTTCTGTTAATCATTCTTCTCGTTTTCTTTAAAAGTGGCTCGTTGAGTACAATGCTGCACTGGCATCAATTTGCTTCATGATTCTCCTTGGGTTTGTTGATGATGTCCTTGATGTACCTTGGAGAGTGTGAGTATTCTTCGGGCCTCGCCCTATTTCTCTCACATTATTATATCTTTGGTTCAATACTCATTTGAGATTTCGAATACAGAAAACTAGTATTGCCATCTGTAGCTGCCCTTCCACTGTTGATGGCTTATGCGGGGCATACAACTATAATTATTCCAAAGCCTCTCGCTCCATATGTTGGATTGGAGATTTTAGATTTAGGTAAAATTTTCCTTGTGACAAATTTCAGTTTTGTTATTCTGTTAAGGTTATAAGTCATTTAATCTCTCTTTTTCTGGTAGATTGTGGAAATCATCCATTTCACATTAACTCAGTCTTAAATTTTACTCGGATAGGGTGGATATACAAGCTCTATATGGGGCTCTTGGCTGTATTTTGCACTAACTCAATCAACATTCACGCTGGTATCAATGGCCTCGAAGTTGGACAGACTGTTGTTATTGCTTGTGCTGTAAGGAAAACATTTTTTTTGTACACATTTCACGAGTCAAACTAAGTAAATCCGCTAAGTCTGACGTATAATTATAACTGCAGATATTAATACACAACATAATGCAAATTGGAGCATCTACTGATCCAGAATACAAGCAAGCACATGCGTTCTCCATTTACCTTACTCAGCCCTTGCTGGCCACTTCTTTAGCCTTGCTTTCTTACAACTGGTAAATAATAATAATAATGCCATCATTTTTTGTGGCAGAATAAGAATTCTATTTGCATGCTGAGACTCGTAATTTTCTTGTGACTTCACATAGGTATCCATCTTCAGTGTTTGTTGGTGATACTTACACTTACTTTGCTGGGATGACAATGGCAGTGGCTGGCATTTTAGGCCATTTCAGGTTTTTGCTCCTTCACATCATTTGCCCAACATTAAAATCCTTAGTGATAACCACAAAGTATTGCCCTTTAGACAGATGTAGTCTAATTACCGAAAACAAAAAGGCCCCAGGAATAATATTTTTTCGGAACATGTTTTGTTTGTACCAATGGACGTCTAATTTGTGAAATTGACTCTGATATTCAGCGGGGCCCTACAGTACATTGAGTTATAAACTTATTTTAACATGATAACCTTTTATTTGTTATTCTATTTTTTTACAGAAATTGTGTACATTAGTTTAGGAAACTTCAAGTTTTTAATGATCTTTTAATGAATAATTCTTTTTTCAGTGAAACACTTTTGATATTCTTCGCGCCACAAGTCCTCAACTTCCTCCTCTCACTTCCTCAGGTTCTCTCTCTCTCTCTCTCTCTCTCTGAACATACATATACAAATAGTGTCACATATTAATACTAAATCTTTCTTCAGCTGGCTGGTATTGTACCTTGTCCACGTCACCGACTCCCCAGGTAAGTTCAACTGGCCTTTCTGCATGCTTATCCCGTCGTAGTACAAAATATAAAATATTATATATTGGGATTAAACTTGTTATATTTCCAGGTTCGACCCCAAGTCTGGCCTATTGACTGGGACGAACGATGGGACTCTCGTGAACTTCTTTTTAAGACAGTTTGGTCGAAAAACAGAGAAGTCACTTTGTATTCTGTTGCTTGTTTTCCAGGTAACTTACACTTTATTTCCAGGGATTAATGTATAGAAAATTTTAGCGATGATATGAACCCATAATCTAATAAAATCCAATTATCTTCCACAATCATATTATCTCCATTGTGGCATTAAAAATTATCCTTGATGAGCTGGTATTCGTAATTTTGAGAGAGAACTTGATTTTTTTAGAGTAGGTTTTTTTGCAAAAGATCTGTTCATTTCATGTAAAAATTGTACATTGACATAAATCATTCGACTGATAAAACATAACCCGACTCGTGTGCTACAGGCTATATGCTGTGGGTTCTGTTTCTTTCTGAGGTGGCTACTCACAGGCTGGTACAAGTGATGGATGGTTTGCACTTGTCATAACATTTTGGCTCTCTCTTCATACAAGAGGTTTTTCAAACGGGTCGTATTTCAATTCCAACTTCATGTTGTTTCGGAAAAAAATAGATTTAGCCTTTAACTCAGGTGTCGGGCATTGCAACTTCGCCTTGAATGATGATAGTATTTGACAACAGCAGTTACACTATGAACGGGATATTGATAGTATACTTTAGCTTAGCTGTTAAATCGTGCAAGCTTATCATGTTGGAAAATGAAGATAGATTTTGGCTATGGGAATTTCTATCATCATGCACAAAACAGTTTTCTTCGTGTAGCCTTCAGTAAATGTCAGGTTCGCTTGATGTGCTCAATTCGACTTGTTATTAAGCTTAGCTATTGTTGTGAAGTTGTGTTATTGGCGATTTGGTTCATCTACACATAGCAATGGTAATAACTTGAGGAAATGTACAAATGCATATGTCAAACTGAAACAGTTTTAAAGACAAAGACAATGAAAACAAAGAAGATGCCAAAATAAAACTATATTTATCTAATGTTTGGCAATCGTGTCCTGTATGCGAGACTATAGGTTGTAGCTACTAAATTAGCACGAATTTCCAGCCTTAGACTCAAATCCAACCAAATGCCAGATATAGCTATTTTAACCCGTCATCTACTCGAAATGAAGCGTGTTTGTTATCATCAGTAGTTAAGCTTATCAACCGAGCTTGTGGACCGAACAGTTTCCTCAGCTGGTGTCATGAAAGAGGTGAAATATCCCGATTTCCTCAAGTCTTGTATGATATGCTGTAAGAAATATCAATAGTTAATTCATGCTCATGCATGTTTTCATGAAAATATACGGAAAAGCATGTCAAAATAGGCTAAAGATACCTTTGGAGTGTATATTCGTGTCAAGATTCCTTTATCCAAGAGATCTTCATTCACCTCCTTATCAGCCCAGACGACATGTTCACGATACCTTGGTCAAGAGAAAAAGGATAATAATACAGAGAGATCAAATTCAGCAAAATAGGAAACTGTTCAGTCGAAATTGGAAAGCGATAGTGCTTTTTTTTTTTTTTTTTTTTATCGAGTACCATTTCAGCATTTCCTCCTCTGTACCCTTCGAAGCAATCAAGAAGGCCTGCAATTTTTTTTTATCGAGTACCATTTCAGCATTTCACTCTCTTTGATAGGTGCAAACAGAATTCAAGAAATGAAGTCGGTAAAAAGAAATGAACAGAATTCTCACATTTTTATCGAAATCTAACATGAAGCATTTGTCCGTGCCTTGTGCTGTCGGCTCACAGCCACACCGATTGCGCCGTGAAGTAAGGTCCGAGAACTTTGCATAAGTGTAGTGCAAAACAGCGGCCTGATTGGACTCGATCTCCCTATGTAAAACAAGAAAGGTGTAAAAAAGGTAAAAATAAAAGGGAAAAACAGAATCCTTCTTGTATATATATATATTTCGGTGATTGCTTGCTAAAGCTCCCCAAAAACTCATCATTTGAAAACGAGAAGAGAATCACAGTACATAGGTGTTTTCATATAATTGTCCCATCTGTGGGCTCCACTCGGACGCAGATAATCTTGAACACGAGCAGCCGATTTTCCATTGCCGTAAGTTAGAAAATAGTACGGGTTACCATGGTAGGCTTCTTTGGAATTAGCAAGATATGATTCTCCCGGGAGATGGTTCAGATTCTTCTTGAACATTGTCACCTGAAATCCACATATGAAAGATAAATATTAGCTACAACACACAAACAAAAACACACACAAGAAGAAAAAAGGAGAGAGGAAATGACCTCAGTGAACGGTTCTTTAACGTCTTCTCTCTCGACAGCGCTCTCCTGAAGATAAATATTTCGTCATCATTAAATAGAATAATGTTTAAAATAAGCAAACGTTCGAATGTCATGAATGCAAAAACACTCACATAATTTGGAAAGATCACCGTGTCGACATCTCGAGGCACGGCTGATAGAAGTTTCCGGACAGAATATTCTCGAGTGCCAGCCGGATGCATCAGCTCATCGGTGTCTATATGAATTATCCAATCCATGCCAGCATTCTTTGAAAAAAAAAAAAAAAAGAAAAGCAAAGGGTGAATAACTATTAATTGATCATTTGATAGTAGCATCGAAAACTTGGACACTATATACCCTTGCCATGACAATTGCGCTTTCCATGTTCAATGTCTGCCTCACAAACAATTCATAGGTGCACGGTTTATTAAAGAATGGTGTCAGCCAAGGCTCGTTCCATATCCGGCTAACAATAACACAAGGAAGTTAGACATTGTTAACTAAAGACATGCAAAACCCAAGTACACAACATAGTTACACTCCAGTTCATGAAATATCAGACCTGCTCGACTGTTGCTTCACCAACTCTTGTGTCCTGTTAATAAGTATTACTCCCTGTGAGCGGACCCAAGTTAACATCCTGAGTTAGCTACGAGTATGACATTGTATGGCACAAAAGAAAGGAAAAGAAAACGGAAGAAGTGAAATTCGTTTGCTAACCGGTATCGAGTTAAGAGCATTATAAACTTCAGGCGACGCAGCTTGGCCTTCCCCAAAGAGAAAAAAGTTCGAAATCCCCACAAATTTATGATAGAATATCCATGGTACAATCTGTTCTAGCCCAGCAGAAGTAGTTGTTGTGATGCATATCTGAGTTACCAAAGCAATTTTTCAGTACGCAGACAATTAACTGATCAGATGTTACCAAAGCCAACAATTAAGATTTTCAACAATCAGTTATAGAAATAAGCAAATGTTACACAAAATAATAGCAAGTGCATCAAAAAATAGGGAGATGCTAGGTTCGTAACCGTTTAGATCATCATGTTACCGTTACATCGGGAATAGATGATCTAACGGTTAAAAACTCCGAATGAATGGTTCTGTAACAAGACCGTAGCATTTCCCCAAAAATTATAGGGATTCGCTAAAAAGCTCCATCTACTTACTTCCCCTGTTATTACTTAAACCACTAAATACGTCATCAAGAAACACACTTTGGAAAAAACAACAGAGAGGAAAGCAGCAAAATCGGACCTTCGGGTCAAGTCCAGATCCGTTTTCGTACTCCGGGTCCCTAAAATAAGGAAACGGCACCGTTTGGGCATCGACGGGTCTTGAGGATTTGGTTCCAAAACCTACAAAACCAGATAACGGGTCTGCGCCGACGGGAGGCCACCTCCTGATGGGAACCCAAACGGGTCTTAAACGGTTCGTGTCCGGGGTTATTGGGTTTGTCAGTTGGAGCTTTAATGCTAGCAACCCGACTGATACAAGGATGATGAAAGCGCAGAAATATCTCAGGAAGTCCCGACCGACCATCTCTTCGTCGCCGGCGAGGATGTTGTGTTTTCCGGTACATATTTATTGCCAGTATGTATAGGTTATATATATGTATTTGCTGTGTGTGTGTGTTTTTTTTCTACAGAGAAGGGAGAGTTTGGGGAAGACGAGGGAACCTGGAAGGACAGTACAGTAGGACTCGTTTTATTTCAGCTCGTTTTTGCTTTTTGGGTAGAAAAAGAAAAGAAAAAAAAAAAAACTTTAATATTCAATATATATATATTTTTTTTTTTTGGTACATATTATTCAATATTTTTTTAAAAGCAAAGCATAAAAATCTCCCCAGTCAACGGTCCTTAAAAAAGTCAAATGGACTTTGGTCAACCTTCAAACATAGCCTCTGAAAAAAGAAAAAAAGTAGAGAGCTATAAGGCTCATAACCAAATGCATATCTCTCTATCATGGCCATATGATATAACACCAAAATAGGTTCATTGCCTTGGAACCCAAAACTCCCCATGACCTCCAAAACCATGAATATCCATTCTCCATCATACATTCTTGCAATATTCATTGCAATCACATCAGTAAGCAACAATGTCGTCGTTACGGAGGGCAGGATAGGCATAAATTGGGGACGTGCGACCGCGCAACGCCTGATCCCGTCTGTCGTGGTCGATCTCCTCTTGCAAAACCACGTCCCGGCCGCTAGGGTTTACTCGTCCGAGGAAGACCTACTCCAGGCGTTTGTCGGGAGCGGCATCGACCTCAGCATCACCATTCCTAAGTGGACAGATGTTGCAACCTACGACCTCGCCCAAGATTGGGTCCGCCAGAAGTCTCCCTGGTTCGGACCCTCCAATGTAACGTACGCGTCGAAATAATATTCTTTTCATTTATTTGTATGTAGGGTTGTTAATGAACCAAAAGTTCACGAACAAAAGCTTCGTTTGAGTTAATCAAACATATTAAAAAAGTTTGTTTTCTAAATTATTCGAACATGATCGAACTCGAACTTTTGGAACAACTAAACGAACGAGCCCGAACTCGAACTTTGCTCGAATAATAAATGGCCGAACACGAACAACGGTCGAACGTACACTTACATGAGTCTGAAATGTCTAAACTTGGCTCATTCGGTTCTATTACGTATGTTCAATCGTGTTTGGTTCCTAATTTTTGTTACTATAAATGTTTAGGTGCGTCATGATCGGGACCGAAATATTCGGCCTGGGGATGAACGATACGGAACTCCAGAGGCGGATGATCGACGCTTTCAACTACACCCAACTCGCGCTCAACGACGCCGGTTACGGGCACGTCAAGGCCACGTTTCCACACCCTTTAGCCGTACTCGATGAGTTTAAGAAGCCGTCCGAGGCCGTGATCAGGGAGTCGGTTCGGACCCAGTTCTTGAGGCACCTCGACATCGTCCGAGCAAGCGGTGCCCCAGTCAACATCGAGTTCTTCCCTGTCGAGCTCATGCGCGTCCTCAACATCACCGACCTCAGTTTCGCCATTGCTGATGGCCGCTCGTCCCATGCCATAACCGACATCGACGGCGCCGTCTACACGGACGTGTTCGAGTTCTCGTATGACGCGTTCGCGTGGGCACTCGAGAAGCTCGGGTACGGTGATGTCAAGTTTGTCGTCACCCAAGTCGGGTGGCCCACCGACGGGTTCGTCAATGCCAACTTCACCACTGCCGAGCGATTCCTTGGGGCCCTTCTCCCATTCGTCGCCAGCGGCCGTGGGACCCACAAGCTCCCAGGGAAGCCGATCGACATCTACGTGCACGCGCTCACGGACGAGAACCTGAACCCGCCCTTCCTCGCGTACGGGCGCCACTGGGGGATCTACCGGTCCAACGGTGAGCCCAAGTACCGGGTCGACCTGACGGGCCAGGGCCGGGTTATGTTCCCAGCCCGAGCCCGCGGGATCAGGCGAATGCCCAAACGGTGGTGTGTGCTTGGTCCCATGGAGGACGAAGACGACAAGAGGGTGGAGGAGGCGTACCAGTTCGCGTGCGCAACAGGGGACTGCACGAGCATGTACCCGAAGGGATCGTGCAGTGGGCTCGACAGGTGGCAGAACGTGTCGTACGCGTTCAACATGTATTTCCAGGCGTTTTTCCAAGATGAAGCGGCGTGTAAGTTCGACGGGCTCGGGCAGGTCGTGACCGAGGACCCGTCGACGGTCGGGTGCGTTTTCCCGGTGGAGGTCGTGAAAGGCCAGCAGGAGAATTTCAAGAATGCTACCGAGAGTGTGGCCACTGGAAAAGAGAACAGAGCTCGTCGGCTGCCTGGGCTCGACGGAAATCTCGTGCTTCTGGTTTCGGCGCTTTGGGCATTGTTATTACTCCACAGTTAACTCACGACTCACGAGTGTACTGTTTGCGAACACGAAACAGGCGCATGTGTAAAAATCTTGTAGTAATTATCTCTTGTCGAATCTATTAAGTCTTTGTCTGCCGAACTGTTTGCAAACATTGGGGATTAAGAGGAAGGAGTACAAAAGCTCGCTGTTGGGAGGATGGATAGTAGATAGAACGTATTAGGATCAAATGGGGAGTATAGAACATATTAGGATCAAATGGGGAGTTTTAATCCATAATGTGGGAACTAAATAACAATATATATACATATATCTTTTGTATTATATTAGATGAATTTATATATATATATATATATGTGGCTTTGTTAATTACTAATTTTTGTTCAACAAATCTATGTGCATGTTGTCTAGCTATGTCCCATTTTATCCAAACTGGTAAAAACGAGTCGTTTTCATAAACCGGTTCATTTAGGCCACAAAGATCATTAATTTCTCACATCTTTTATAATCTATATTGTTTTTTTTAGTTACAACATTAGGAAAATATTATAGTCCCGTTATAAAACTATTCCGTTGAGATTTTTAACCGTTAAATACACATATAGATTAGTATAGCATGTGCATCTAACGGTTAAAAATCACAACAAAATAGTTTCGTAATGAGACTATAGTCTTACCCACAACGTTAAACATGGGCATGTTGAGACTAGTCGATAAGTTAATTAATAAATTATTTCGTTAACACGTTTATACTAATATAAATTTAATTTTAGTATATATATGTTTAATTTCTTAATTTAAAAAAATAACAATTTTGCTTATTTTTGTTCACCATCTACTACTTAATTATTATTTTATAATAAAATTCGTTGTCATATTATGTTACTATTATTTATAAAATTTATAGAATTAGTTTTATTCTTTTTTTTGGTACAATAGTTTTATTCTTTTTATTTTATATAATGAAAAATATTTAATGTACGTTAATATTATTTACCAATGTAAAATTATGTAAATACATTTAAATTATAATATTATGTATAAATATTTTACAATTTTTTTTTAAATTTACAAAAAAAAAAACCATTTATTTTTTTTAATGAAATCTTTTATCCTTTTTTTGAATGTCTTTCCTATATAAGAAAATAAATAAATATAGCATTAAGAAAAATACACAGCTGTTATACGTACAATCTTAATTCTATATATAGGGCTCTTGAACTGTTAAGAAAATCGGCTGCCATACAAACATGTATAGTAAATTTTGGGAATAAAAAAATGTTACACCAAACAATTAATGCATCTAAATATAGAACCATCAATGAATTAAGCATAAAAATCTCCCCCGATCAACGGTCATTAAAAAGTCAAACAAAAATTGGTCAACTTTCAAACATAGCCCTCGAACTCCCAAAAAAAAAAAAGAAAAAATAAAATACTCCCTCTTTTTTAAAATAAGTGTCGTTTTGACTTTTTTTCTAGATACATAATAAAATTAATGAATTAAAAAAGTCAAAACGACACTTATTTTAAAAAGGAGGTAGTACAAATTAAGAGCCATATCCAGATACATACCTCTCTATTATGGCAATAGAACCCTAAAATAGGCTCATTGCCTTAGAAGTTAGAACCCAAAACTCCCTATGCCCTCCAAAACCATGAATATCCATTCTGCATCATACATTCTTGCAATATTCATTGCAATCACAACAATATGCAACATTAATGTCATGGTTACGGAGGGCGGGGTGATAGGCATTAATTGGGGACGTTCGTGTTAGAGTAGTATACCCGGCGTTCCAATCTGATTGGACGTATTCTACTTGTAAATACAATCTATTGGAATTATATTAATTAAAAGGCATTACTTTATCTTAAGAGTAAGCATTTATCATATAATTGCACTTAAGATAAAATCCCTAGATCACATATGTTATAAGGTATGGTTGCGCATAGAGATGGTGATCATGGAACATACCTTGAAAGCAGTGATCTTAAATAAAGTTCCAATTCGATGGATGTTTCGAGATGGGATATCGAATAATCCATAAAAGAATTGCACATAGTATGTATGCTTGTTGGACAAGAATGTTGCATTGTATCAACATTAGCGTGGGACGCAAGTACATATATGTGGGTGCTTGTTAGAGAATAAG